AATGTAGACCACTTCAACGGCAGTGGAGTCAGAATGGCATCGCCGACAAAGACAAGGGAGACTGGAATGGCCATTTCTGGCTTATTAGCCGTCGTCAGCCAGTCATACCCAATCCCGAAGCGTGAAACACCTGGAGCTCGATCCCGCGACCTATCAGTTAGAAGTCCAACGTTTCTTACCGCTGAGCCACGGGCCCGTTGTCTTGTCGGTTGTCTTGTCTACAATAGTAGAGGGACGCTCATCGATATTTTCTACGGAACTCACTCGTCCCGTTGTGCCTTACAGACTCTCTCTCGAGCATAACTAGCAGCCGCACTGCGGCGCATGATATAAGCAGAGTGTCATTGCCGGCAAAGACAAGGGAGACTGGTATGGCCATTTCGCGGGATTGAGCCCCAGGTGTTCCACACTTCGCGGTTGGATAAGACAGGCTGACGACGGCTAATAAGCCAGGAATGACCATTCCAGTCTCCTTTGTCTTTGTCGGTAATATCATCCTGCCTATATCATGCGCCGCCGTGCGGCTGATGGTTGTGCTCGAGAGAGAGAGAGCCCGTAAGGGACAATGGGACGAATGAGTCCCCTAGAAGCGACCGGTGAGCGCCCCTCTACCATGGCAACGGAGTCCTCCTGCTGAAGACCTGCGCAGTACAGAACCGTTTTGTCATCGGTATCATCTTTCGGCCTTCCAACCGCAAGACAACTCTGATGCGTGCTGTGTCCCAATCGTGATGACAGACGGGCTACATGCTTCTATCGCTGTAAAGGGCTTATGCCAACGGCGGCTCTATATTCGGAATACTGGACCGAATATCATACAGTTGTGTAGAATTTTGGCCGCAAGTTCACCCTCGGAGTCGGCCTCAGAGAGAACACCATAGATGCACTGATATTGGCCAGACACCGAATGGGATCCTCTAGCAGTTTGTCGCCCACATCCACCCCCTTTCAAGCGAAAACGTGGAGCACACCTAGCAACGACTGCGAACGGCCATAAACATTTCTACCGCTGAATTAGTCGGACATCCGTGTAGAAAAAGCCGAGGCCTATTTGACGGCGACGGTGATGAAGTACTGTGAATGGTCTCCAAAAGCTGACTTTACATGTCTATACCACAGCAAAAAGCGGAGCCTCATACTACCAATGTTGTTGCCAACTGGCAGAAAGACTTGTCGCATACGGGCATCTTTGTGCTCACGGCGACGATTATGCGGACAAAGGAAACCCAGCAGCATCAGCGTCGTAAGCAGTGCTATCTTGTGTGTGGAGAGTGAGGTGAGTCCTAGTGTTTTCTTCCTCATGGCAAATCAGCCTATTCCTCAGCATCATAAATCAGGAAACACTAAGCTCCTTGACCTGGAAGGATGTCATCCTTGTGGTGCTCCTTGCATCTGAGAGACCGGATCCCCTGTGGGCATATGCTAGGCAGAGGGGTCATGTGAGTCACTGTGTTTAATTGTACGCCGCATCGACTGGACTCTGACGAGCACTGATGTGGGAGGTAGGAGGGCTGAGAGATGCGGGTCAATCCAGCATCCAAAGTCCGATGGGGGTCGGTTGCGCTGTCCCAAATGTAAGCGCAATGTGGACATTGCAAGTGAAGTAAACCGAAGAAGGATGATGAAATTGGTAGTGGGAAAGTAGCCAGAGCTAAAACGCGAAAGGGCAACTTGATGTTGCGGTTTAGAGGTAGGGTTGGTCTTAGTGTATGGGTTAGTGTCAGGCTGAGAATTGAGTTTAGGGTTAGGGTTTGTGTTAAGTTTAAGGGTTTTGGTTAGAATTAGGTTTTAGAATGCGGTTTAGGTTTACGTTTACTGTTTATGGTTAGGGTTAGTGCTAGGATTAGGGTAGGGCCGCAGCTGAGGTTAGGGTTATGGCCTGGGTTTGAGTTACGGTTAGCGATTGGATTGAGTTCGGGGCTAGGATTTGGGTCATGGTTGAGGTTGGGTTCAGTGTTAAGGCTGGGGTTTGTGGTAGGTTTAGGGTTAGGTTTAGTGTTAAGTTTAGGGTTAGGCTTATAATTACGTGATGGATTAGGTTTACATTTGATGCTACGATTAGGTTTACCGTTAGGCTTGGGGTTTTGCTGTAACACGTGTCCCGTCGGCCAGGTCCTTTGGGGGGACTCTAGGCTTCCTTCAGTCTCGCGGCAGATATTTGTCATACATCAGGTTGACTTATCCACTTCAGCCTCGGCTACTTTCCCCAGTAACGATTTCAGCACCCCCTTCAACTTACTTTCCTTCCAATGTCCACAGCGTGTTTACACTTAGGACCAGGACAACGTAATCGACCCTTCCCCAAAGTTCTTCGCCATAAACAACCGAACGCGCTTTAAAATCATCGCAACTAGTAAATAGCGGTAGCTTGAAAGGTTGCCGACCGACGGTATAACTCGATCACACTCCTGACTGAGTGTAGTATTCCTATAGTTCCTTCTTGGAGTGGCCCTTAGGATCCTCTCGCTTACGTGCGATCCAACACTACTCGTCAAGGCCCGATGCGTTTAGAGTTAGGATCCGGGTACCCTGTAACAGACGCTAGCATTCAACCCTTCTCACTTTGTCATATCATCGGAACGCGGCGGTTGTGGGAAGAGGAAAGTCAAGAGAGAGAGAGAGAGAGAGATGCAAAGATGATCGACTTCAGTCTAAACAGATTTACGCGCAAGCGACGACCGCTCCCACTTTGTGGAGGAATGATAGTGAAAGCAACAATTGTCTGTACTTTTCGGGGTCAGCGTCCTCTAGAATCACGCAACAGTCGCTACTGTCAGATCAAGGCTGCGCTCGGAGTTACGCGCGAGCCGGGCTCATGAACGGTGAGTGGATTTCACCGAGAATGTGGGGAGGGTTTTGTGAGCGAAAGAGCTAAATTTGGGTTGAAGGAGTAGACTTGGGGAGAGCCAGTTTGCCCTAGATTGCGTGCGATTCAGATTTACTGGATTGCCTGGACGGAAGTTGACACATTTGGACGCATTTTGACTAACCCTGTCTCTGGTCACACACTTTCAAAAACTTTTTTTACTTCTAAGCGGACATCGGTGTTTAACTCTGAGCGGAATCTCGCGCTTCGCTACGCATCACCCGAAGTCTTCCTCTGTCCCGGAGGTCTCTAGCTAGCACTTGCCTTACTCCTTTTGGGCTTTTAAAGGCTCACGCATGCTCTGCTTATATTACACCATTTTAAAGAGCGTTTTGTATATCCTTTGCTTTGCGGAAGGCCTAGGGTTAGCACTGACCGGATGTCAGGGAGGATTTCCTCTTCAAATTAAACTTATTTTGGCGGTTTGTAGGAAGTTAGCTTCCTGATAAAGAAGACCTTTAAAAAAATGACGGATTTTTTAAAAAGCCTCCCCTCTTCATCCACGTCTCCATCTCAGCCTACTGTCGGTACGTGGATGAATCGCAACCTGCTGTACCACAATGGTGCCTGCTGGCGATAACCTGGACTTAGTAAATCAAAATGTGATGGTGGCCGTAGACTAGTGTAATCTTCCCTCGCAGGACCCTTCATCGGCACCAAATGTGTTCTGTCCTGTCTGTCGTCAAGAAACGTCTTCGGATGATTCGCGGTTCAACAGCTGCTGGACTGGATGATGTCTTACCACTTGACTTTAATCCCTCTTCTTATAACATATCGCCCATTGTAAACGCATGTTTTAACCTGCTTTTCATAACACTCGAAACGCCTGATGATTAGCATACTGTTAAAATCATTCCCAAATGTAAAAAATTAGTAGTATTATTCTCCTGTCTTTTTGCCCAATTCATTATTCATCCGCATTTCCGAGTTTCGCTAAGTCGGTTGCCCTAGACACAATCATTTGCTTCTACTTTCGCCGGCCTTCTGCTACTTGCATATGAAGCCTGAGGCAGCATCTTAGGCGGTGTTCTGCCTGAGGTCCACCCGGTTATAAGAGACATAGTCAAGGACTGTCGTGGGTATACCTATGTACTTCCGTATTACGGCTCTGCCCTCCAAACTTTCCCTAATAACCGGTCCTGTCTTACCTCCTCACCACATGGATGACCTGAAATCGCCCAATGACTACCTGCATATTAAGCACATCAATGATGTCGTTTTGAGTCCGCCTGTCAGGAATGAGTTCGAGCTTCATTTTTCAAAGCAAGACTTAGATCGTATCTCGGAATGATCGTGGGCAAACTAGTTTCTGCTCAGTGATCAGAAACTGTGACCCTGTTCAGTTTCTAGAATCCATTAACTTGTATCCTAGTGTAGTCTCTTCTTTTCTGGGCCCTGCAACTACCTTGCTTCCCAGTCTATATGCGGCCTTCGTGTCGAGTCCCTCGTTAACAAAAATCGTCAGTTAATTAATTAATAGATGTTTTGGCAGACTTATTTTGATCCAAGTGTAAAAAAACTTGGTGACCTCTGTAGGCTTCGAACCCGCAAGAGCAAGGAGAATGCCTGAGTACAGTCAACGCACCAGCCACTCGAGGCACTAGGTCCCTTAGGGAGTCGTGAGTTTAATCATATTTGGTTCAAGCTGCCCGCCCGGCCTCCTACCGCCTATGAAATTCACCAAATCTGATTTAGTAAGCCGGTTGCCCCAGCAGTAGTTCATAAGTAATCAGTCTAGGATTCACAAAGTGAACGATGAATTTAATGCTTCAGCAATAATTTTCAGTGCAAATCAGCCTACTGTATGTTCCTTATTCGTTATCTATGCTATGTGACAACAGCTTTCGGGCGATGTGCAGTCGCAACATCTATGGACAACGGCAAATTCTGCTACCTACGCCTGTTTTAAATGCATACCGGGAGGCAAAATACTTCACAAATAACTTAGAGTCGTTTGGATCCGAGGCAAATAATGTGACCACAGCTCCCTGGAAGTGTGGCAGGGTCACTAAACTGCAATACAAAACGCAGCGCCCATATTCCAGTCCAAATTAAATCAGATGGTTGGCCTTGAGTATTCCGTCGCGGCAGTGACGCAGTCTGTAGATTGTTGTTGAGCTCGGAGACCAACTGAATGCCCGTCCAAATCACAGGCCGCCTTGCGGTTGGTGATCACCGGCACGTAAGTCAGAAAAGGGTTATTCCGGTTCCCCTTGTCTTCGTCGGCGAAACTTTTGACTGCTTGCATGGCCAGCATGGTTACCATGGCACAATTCGCCAAAAATTTCTGACATTAGTGCGCTGATGACCAGGTGGTGGTTAAAGGAATAACACTGCTATCCTGAATTATTAATGGCTTAACCGTGGCTTCGCACTTGCACTTAATATCATGTACACCACTTTCACTCAAACATTCTTGCGCTCTCTTGAGGGTGTACGGGCTACTGAAAGGGAATTTAGTAGTCAACACTCGTCTTCACTCAGTTAAAATCCCTCTTGAGGCACTTGGCATCTTTCTGCAGTCCGAGATACAAAAGACCACAAACGAGTCGAGGCGAAAGATTGTCAGGGGAAAAAGTCCTGATATGACACCCATGCAGATTTCCACCAAAACACCTCTTCCTCGGAGTCCCCTTAGGCGACGGAGCTGACGCAGCCAATTAAGTTTACTGGGGAACACACGATAAGATAACGGGCACACTGTAATCAATACCGACTATTTGTCCTACCCCAGTGACCGCGTAGGTGACCCTAGTCAAAAACCGTCCGATTCTAGGTGAGTCGAAGGAAACCTATGACAGGATTTTACAACAAGGGCCGGCACACGTCCTTTTCTGCTTTCGCAACTCTTTGTATTGCCTACTTCTGAAAGTATATCACCAAGACAAATGGTTTAGGCCGAGGCATAAAACTGAAGAGCTTGAAGGCTGCCATTCAGGTTGTTCAGAGACAGTATAAATCCCAATAGAATTTATTTTTCAGATGATGACTACATCAACAGGCATACTGACCTTCCTCCGGCATACATAGTCCTGCGTCACCACCTATGCAGGGGTTAGGACAAGATGGCGGTGAGAATGACCCCTCTTTTGCTCCAGTGCATTGGAAACGCAGTTTGCCGTAGGAGCTAAATATGATATCTGATGGTCGTCGGCCCCACAGTCCCAGTCCCGGGCGGCCAAATGACGCAAGTAACTAAAATTCCCACCGAACACATCTAAGTACAGTATCATTAATATCATAGACGCTATAATGGCGACCTGAGAACTGTATCACCGTATGTAAACCATAATTTCAGGGTATAAAATAACCTATCTAGGACTAAAAGTGCTTTAAACTTATTTCCAGGAACCGATTTGCTATATGAGCTATCTCGTGAGCTGTAAGCCTAAATTGTAAAATGTGCTTTTGATCCGCAAAGTTTACCCAAGTAGAGTTGTCATATTTATCATCGTGCGGCGTATGCGCAACATATATCAATCACGCCAGGATGTCAGCTTTCGAATAAGCTTCTTTCGGCCGTCTGAAAAAAAAACACTCTGGAAAGTGACTAGATGTGTAGTATGAAATTTTTCCATTGATTTTCAGTGTGTTTATAAATTCACTTCTGTTTTATAGAAAATGTTCACAAAAACATTTTTTCTTGCACCCGACTTGAGTCTTCTCTACATTTTTTACTTGAATACAGGGAGCATCTTTTGGCTTTAAAAGGTTTCTATTTATGAGATTTTTAGGACAACGCGGTGTCCATCCACACAGCATCGGATACGCACGTTGATTAAGGCTTCTTATTAAGTATACGACCTGGTCCAATCCATTGCAAAATTTCATGAGTGCTATCTGACATCTTCCAAACAGTGTAATAAAATGTGTGATATTCCTCTGGCGGAATGTAAACAGCATGCAGCATGAAAACCCTGGATGCAATTGTGACGGCAGATGGGACAAAAATCATTCGGGAATTAAAAGAGTCCTTACAAACCAAAAGGATAAAATTTGACGAACACGTGGTTTGCTACTAAATGAGTACAAGAGAGAATATTTTTGTGCACATCTTCCATTAAAAAATTGAATTTATAGGAGCATCGAAAATCAGGGGAAAAATTCCTCCTATATAAGTAGTCATTTCTTATAGAGTGTTGTTTTGCAGACGATCGAAAAAACTGACACGCCAATGTGACTGAAACATCTTATGGCTAAGCTGCACGATAATTAATTATAACAGCCCTACTCGGGTAAACTTTTCTGATCGAAGGCACATTTCAGAATTGCGGTTAGCATTTCATGGGACATCGCATCTACTGCGTAGGAGTTATTCTTCACATCTACGCGTGTCAGAATTTTAGAGGAGAATACCATTGTTGTAGCGGTGGATTCAGTAAATCATCAGCTGCGATTAGATACCAACAGACAGGCCGGCTAGCGCGGCGTGGATGGGGCCATCGTCATCACGTCAGTGCGGCCTAACGCGCGCACTCCGGGGGCGGGGGGAGAAGGTGATTGCGCCCGACGGCAGTCGAGGTAATGACAACTGACCACACGGTTTTAGGCTGAGGGTGCATAAGCCAAAAACCAACTTCCAGAGCCCGGGGCAGGCAAGGTCTGGATCGAGACGCGCGCAAAGTCCTGCCCAAAAAGCACGCCGAACAAAAATAGGCACTAGTAGGCGTTCTGCAGTTCTTACACAATCCTCACAGCGGTGATTCATCCCGCAAAGGGACAGGATCCCTAGTGAGGGCAGTATTTTCAGACGTACGCAAGTTGCCGACCAAAAAAGAGGGCAGCGCGTCCGGCGAAGAGGAGGTGCCGGGGCGGGTGTAGCCGACCCCAGTGTGTTGACTGTGTGCCTAGTCAACGTCAGCCACGGCTGTGGGTAAACTCGCAACAACAGTACAGGCTACCTGCGGTGGAGTTGAGAAGCAGCAGCAGCAGCAGCAGCAGCAGCAGCAGCAGCAGCAGCAGCAGCAGCAGCAGCAGCAGCAGCAGCAGCAGCAGCAGCAGCGACGGCCCTAAAACTTGGCGTACGGGCGCGCTACCAGCTGGATCAAGCCTGCACCGAGGAGGACGTGGTTGTCTTCGTCGGATCACAGGATGCGAAGCATACGTTTGGTGGGCAACCTCATGAAATGTCAACCGAAATTCCGAAGTGCGCTTTCCTTTCGAAAAGACCAGTCAAGTACAGTTGTAAAACTAAACATTGCGCAGCATTATTCTACAATAATTCAGTTACCTCAGAATGCCAGCTTTCGAACGAATTTCTTTTGGGCTGCATGCAAAAACTATACTCTGTAAAAATGAGTAGTTATGTAGCATGTACTTTTCTAATTGATTTTCCACACCCTTAAAATGGAGCTATATTTTATGGAAAACACGCATAAAAATACTCATTCTTTTACTCGTATGGTAGGAACTTACGCCTACTTCTAATTTTATACTCGAATAAAGGGTATAATTTGGTTTTGAAAAAGTTTTAATTGTGAAATTTTTTAATACCTTGAAATTGCCGTTTGTGAAACGTCAAGTCTCTGAATTTACTAGTGTGCTGTATAAAGTTAACAAGATGGCACAAATCCACTGCTAAATTTTATGAACTTCATATAGCTTCTTCTTAATACCGTAGAGAAATGTATGGTTTTCCTTACGCGGAAAATATACAGCTTGTAGTCTGGCATCAGTGAATGCACGTGTAACGTCAGGTAGGGTTCAAAATTATTCGGGGATTGGAAAAGCTTTTGAAAACCGAGTTATATCCTTTTTTAGAGTATAAAACTAGAAGAAGACATAATTTACTACCGAATGAGTAAGTGAATAAATATTTTATGCGTGTTTTCTACGAAATATAACCGGATTTTCAAAGGCATCGAAAATCAATGACAAAAATGCATGCTACATAAGTACTCATTTTTTACAGGATATAATTTTTGCATGCAGCCCGAAAGAAGTTCTTTGGAAAGCCGACATCCTGAGATAACTGAATTGTTATAGAATTATGTCGCCTGATGATCAATTTTACAACCCTACTTAATTAACCTTTCTGAAACGAAGACGCGTTTCGGAATTTCGGTTGACATTTCACGAGTTAGCCCACCTACTATACGAGGACGGTGGAAGGAAACGAAGCATCTGACGGGCTCTCACACACTGCCGCAGGCGTCAGGCGTCAAGAAAGAAAAGAAAACTTTGTCATGCCACGTAAACAAAGTGTCGAACTGCGCAGATGCAACCTCTTTTTAAGTACTCCAGGCAAGCGCATGCGTGGACGTTAGGTAAGCACCAAGGAGGAGGAGGGGGAGGAGGGGAGATAAGAGAGAAAATAAATGACATGACGCTTCAGCCATTGCGAACGATGATGCCCGTGGATGGCGCAGGGAGAGGGACTTGCGTGCGAATTAGTGGTGGCAGACGTGCGAAGCATCTGCTGAATTTTATCCTCTGTCACCCTCTTAGGCCTGGTGGCAAGACTAAGCACGAGCGAAGGTGGGATCGGGCGAAGTATTTGATACGACTAGACAGCCTCTAAAGGCGTGGCACACGCGCCTGTTCCGCGCACGATGGACTAGTTGACAATCTGAGCCTGCCAATCAACTGGCGATAGGATTGGACGCACGAAAGTCCGCCTACGTGCGACACACACGATCTGGTCAGGCGTCAGATAACACAAAAGAACAAGCTTTCCACTTTCTTGAGGGGTTCCTATTCTGTGCCTATCGTGGGTGATGTGGGACGAGTTTGTGTGTGTGTGTGTGTGTGCTTGCACGTGGCGCACGCAGACGTGGTCAGTCGACCATGACAGCCACCGCGCCCATTCCCCACTCCAGTCTGCTGACCGGCTCGGACAGTGGCTGAGGTGTGGGAATGGGAAGGGAAAGTGTGGTCGACGCCTCAACACACTTTCCTCCTCACTATAAACAATCTGACGTGCTTGAGGCAATCACGATGCCCTAAAAGCCGTGGCCTGGAAGGTTGCCAACTGACGGGATAACTTGGACCTCGCAGTCGGTCTATTGTTGTGCGTTTTTATGGAGAGGTCGGCTGTAGGTCTGAGAGTCAAGCTGCAATGTCTCCTTCTTAATGTGACCTTCATTGCACTCCCACCACAGTGTGGAATCCGAGCCGGGCGTTGGCGGCACGCCTAAGGGCCACTTCGGCCGTGCCAGCCTCCAATCTCTGTTGTGTTGGTCAAAAAGTGGTTATTTGTTGTGTGGACCAGGGGGTGTGGTGGAACGCCAAGATGAGGATCCGTCCAAGCAATTCACCTGCGGCCCCACTCGTCTCCGGCCTTCTTGACTCTGTCTTGACACCGGACTCAGGCGGGGGAGGAGGAGAGTGTGTGGTAGATGCAGCGCAAGTCTACTGACACTATTAACCCCTATGCAAGTCACCGTCCCTGCTCCCACCATCTGCTGATGGGGAGATGTTCGGTGGTGGGGTTTGTTTGAACTACAGTCTCTTATCGCAGATGTTCATTGAGTCCCATATGGCCGAGTAGGCCTAGGCGATGACTGAACGAACACGGAGCTGCGGACAGTGGAGGCGGATGCGGCGGGTGTATGTCGGGGCTCTAGGCACTGGTTCGTCGGTCTCGGTGGGACGGATTCTCAAGTGACCGGCCAGGCCGACAGGTAATGCGGTCCCGACATGGGATACGTTAAGAATGAAAGAATAGCATTATCGGCAAGGACAAAGGAGACTGAGATGGCCATTTCCGGGTTACTAGCCGTCGTCAGCCAACCATACCCGACCCCGAAGTGTGGAACACCTGGGCCTCGATCCTACGACCTGTTCATTAGAAGTCCAACGCCGCTAACCACTGAGTCACGGGTCCGTTGTCCTGTCGGCTGCGTTCGGACAACGAGCCCGTGACTCAGTAGTCAGAGGCGTTGGACTTCTAACCAACAAGTCGCGAGGTCGAGCCCCAGGTGTTCCACAATTCGGGGTTGGGTATGACTGGCTGACGACGGCTAATAGCCAGAAGTGGCCATTCTAATCTCCCCTGTCTTTTTCGGTAATGCTATTCTGCCTATATCACGTGCTGCTGCGCGGCTACTGGCGGGGCTCGAGAGAGAGCCCTATGGCACATCGGGACGAGAGAGTTCCACAGCACGGTGGGTGATCGCCCACGCCAAAGTTGGGATTGAGTCCTCAGTGCTGGTAAAGGTGACATGGCAGGGCGTGGGGAGTGTTCTCACCGGTGATGGCTATCACCATCGTCGCGGAGGATTTGGTGGTGAGGATGGACGTCGGCGACGACGACGACGACGACGAGACAAGTAGCAGTCAAACGACGCTGACGCATGACTCACACCGAGGACAAACTACAAGCATCCTGCATCCCTGATTCGACCAATGACAGGCAGCTCTATTCGAAAACCGTGCTTTCATTTGCCCAAACTTGCAGACTCATGCGGAAATCCATCTTCGAATAGGCGAAAACTCAACAGGAGACCCTGCACCTGCGAGGCATTAGATCAACCAACGGCGAGGCTTGCAGGGGTTGTGAAGGTCAGTGCCCAGGGGCGGGAAATCGATTTGCCAGGTGGACAGTCCAAGGCTTGTCACGTCGGTAGGACACGGTCCCCCACGCCGCCGCTGCTGTGTGTAAACTCCCCGCCAGAGTCAAGGCTTGTCCAGTTAACCGTCTTTACCGCATTCTGATTTGGCAACATCCAATTTGTCGACTATCCTATCTCAACATAAGTACCCCGTCCCGGAGTACAGGTGGCCTTGCACTGAATTCCAGGGGCCGTTAGCGATGTTAGTGTTAGGGTTAAACTTAGGACACGGGAATAGGTACCCCCTGCCGTTCTCTGTTGAAGGGTTTGTCCTGCTGGTCGTGAAGATGAATAGTTGGCCCTTGTCGGAAATGTATATGACGAACTCTGACGGCCGGGCAACGTGCTTACAGTGAATGTCATGAAATTTCAACCGGAATTCCGAAATACTTTTCGTTTCGAAAAGACTGATTAAGTAGGATTGTAAAACTAACTAGCATCTAGCTTAGTTCTATAATAATTCAGTTACCTCAGCATTCCGGCTTTCAAACGAACTTCCTTCCGACAGCATGCAAAATTATACTCTGTAAAAGATGACTGCTTACATAAAAATGTTCATTCTTCTACTCATTCGACAGAAAATGACGACTTCATAAAAAGTCATGTCTCTGCATTTACCAATATGGCTTGTAAAGTAAACAGTATGGTGCACATCCACTGCTAAATTCTATGAAGCCCATATAGTCTCATCTTAATACCTTAGAGAAATGCATGGTATTCCGTATGCGGAAAATATACGGCTTATATTTTTGAAACTATTAATGCAAGTGCAACGGCCGGTCGGGGTTCAAAATTATTCGGGAATTGGAAGGGATTTTTGGCAACCGAATGAGAAAATTGCATGTTACTTAAATAGTCATTTTTGCTGAGCATAGTTTTTGCATGCAGCCCGAAAGAAGTTCCTTCGAATGCTGACATCCTGAGGTAACTGAATTATTATAGACTTCTACTGCATGATGATTATTTGTACAACCCTACTTAAGTAATCTTTTTGAAACGGGAACGCCTTTCGAAATTTCGGTTGACATTTCATGAGTTAGCCCTCCTACTGTACGTTGGTGTAAACTCGAATTTCTGTCGATCTTGTCTGCGTAGTCGAGATACGATTGATGACACCGGCCTGTTCAGTCTCGTTCAGGCGGAACCTTATTTAATTAACTCTTTCGACTAGTTAAAATGCTTATGAAAGCAGCTGGGAAAACTTACAAGTTCAAACTTTGGTAAACGAAGATGTTATGTTTTTGACTGACTTCTTTAGAGCAAATGAAGTTTCCTACACGGGTGACTCGATAAATGACATTTATTTTACCTTCGAAAATGACAAATCAACTTCATATAGTCAATGAAAATTGTTTAAACATGCATTACGTAAGAAGTGTTTTTTTCCGGACAAAATCCGCACAATGAGGATTCGACATCCTATAGTGTATTAATTAATTATGGTGTGTTAATTAACTACAG